TATTTTGAATTATATGATAATATATACATCTATTATAACAGCATAATCTCAACCGTTTGAACGACTTCTACCCGCGAGTTACTCATGAATAAAATTAAATATAATATATGGTTTAATGTTATTTATAGTTGTTGTTATTGTCAATTAATTTTTTAAAATTTATTTGCTTAATGTTTTAATTTCTATTATTATACTTATTTAAAACTGGTTGTCAAAATCACGATCCTAATCGTAGAATCGTACGATCCTAGGTATGAAAAACGATTCGGATCGTAAACAAATTGTATTTGGGGTAGGATCGCAGGCAAAATCGTAAGATCGTAGGATCGAGATCCGATCCGATCCTACCTTACCTTGAATTTTTTTTTCTTTTTAAAATGAAATATTTTTTACCATTTTATGTCTTTTATGCTTTACCAATTTACCATTTATCATTTTGTGTTGTGAATTATGATTAATATTTTGAAGTTTTTATAACTTTTGAAAAATTGAATGTTTGAAATATTTTTCTTGATTAAAAATTATAAATTAAAATTATATTTTATTTTGTAGGATCTTAGGATCCCGATCCCGATCTTGCAAACCCAAAAACGTTCCTACGTAGGATCCCGATCTTGACAACCTTGATCAAACATTGTTTTTCAATATAATTATTTATATAGAGTTATTTTTAACTATTGTTATTGTAAGTTATTTTAAGCTACTTATTTGAAATCTTTTAACGATTATAAAAATATCTTTAAGAAATATTTTAGTTAAATTGATATTATAATTTAGTTTTTGCATTTAGCACTATAATTTATCACTTTTAACTATTCACAAAATATTCATTGGATTTTTTAAGTGGAACTAAAATTTATATTTAAGTTGACACTGTAATGTTATATTTGAATTAACAATTTAAGTATTTTGTCCAAACTGTTCAAAAGTTGTAGCTTTAAACTGATAATGGTTTACATACAACAACATATTAAATCTACTAAATTAAGTATAATATGTTAAAAGTTAAAGATATAAATTTATAAGTAGAAGTAAAGATATTATTTTAATATAAAATTTAGTTTATTTATGATTACACATTAGGTTTGATATTTATTTAACCTTATTAAGCAACTTATAATCATTATTAGAAAGACACTACAATTTATCACTTTTAACTATTTACAAAATATTCTTTCGGTTGTTTAAGTTAAACTAAAATTTATATTTAAGTTGATCCTGTAATGTTATATTTGAATTTATAATTTAAGTATTTTCTACAAATTGTTCAAAAGTTGTAGGTTTGAAATGATAATGGTTTATATCCAACAATATGTAAGAACTAAGAAATTAAGTATAATATGTTAAAAGTTAAAAAAAACATAACTTTATAAGTAGAAGTAAAGATATTCTTTTAATATTGAAATTTAGTTTATATATGATTACACTTTAGATTTGATATTTATTTAATCTTATTAACCAACTTATAATCATTATTAGAAAGAAATTGAAAAGTCATGGGAGTTTCAAATGAATGTGGTGAAAAGAAAAATGCATGTGAGTTTCAAATGTATGTGGTGAAAGGAAAAATGCTTCATTTATAAGTATATATATAGATATAGATAGATATAGACTAGATGAATATCCGTGCATTGCGCGAAATAAAATTATACGATTATATTTTTTGTAATCATACGTTATTGAAAATATTTACGTCATTTTTATTAAATACAAAATAATAATAATTGCATTTAGTTGATGCAAAATTATAATTAATTTGCACAATAAATAATATAACACTTATTAAAATCAAATCAGTTAATGGTTTTTGCTCATGCTTTATGTGTGTATAAAATTAATTGTGGTGACTTAGTAGGACATGTGGAAAGATATGATGAATAAATTATTGACCCATATTTAAATTATCGCAATACTCCAGGGCATGATGCATAGCCTTATATTTATATCGAGGGATAATTCGGGCATCGAACCCTCGTTAAGGAAGTTCTCTTTCCAAAAAAAATAGTTATAGTACTCACTATTTTGATTAACTATTGTTATAATTTATTAAATTTTAAATTTCTTTGATGATGTTTTAATTTCATCATGAATATTATTTAAATTATCAACCACTATTCGTAATATAACATAATTTATTTTATAATTTCATGTTATTTTTAACTAGTATTATTATTATTATAAATTAATTTAAAAACAACTTAATTGAATTTTAGTTATTATATTAATCGTATTTAGTAATTTACTTTCAACTATTTTAAAAAACATATGTTGGATTTTTATTATTTTAGTTTTCAAACTTTACACAATATTTTTAAGTTTGTTTGATGTATTAATTTAGGTTATGCATTTAACACTATATTGAAGTCAACAAATTTAGTATACCATATTGATAATCCAATAAGTCTTCAATTTATGATAATGTTTATAATTAACAACATATTTAAGTTAATAAATTAAATATATTATGTGGAAAATTGAAGAGTTAGGAGTTTTAAAATGATGTGGTAAAAGAAAAAATGCTTCATGAATAATTTAAATTATCAACCACTATTTGTAATGTAACATAATTTAATTTACAACTTTACGTTATTTTTAATTATTATTATACATTAATTTAAAAAAACCTTAATTGAGTTTTTGTTATTATAAAAAATAGTTTTTGAACATCTTTTAGTTAATTCGACTTTTAGATTTAAGATTTTTTATATTTATCGTATTTAATATTTTCCTTTTAACTATTTTAAAAAATATACGTTTAATTTTTAAAACTTCATTTGATATTTTAGTTTAGGTTTTAATTTTACTATATTGTTAAGTTTATTTATATATTAATTTAAGTTATGTATTTAACTATATTGAAGTCAACCAATTTAATATATCATATTGATAATTCAAGAAGTCTTTCATTTATGATAATGTTTATAACTAATAACATATTTAAGTTGATAAATTAAGTAAATTATATGGAAATATGAAGACTTGGGAGTTTCAAATTGATGTGGTGAAAGGAAAAATGTTTCATTTATAGTATAGTATGATATGATGATATGATGATATAGATTTAGATTCATAAATTAAACCTACCATAACGACTATTAATTTCAAATTTCAAATTTGAAATTTCAATTTCAAATAAATTAACAGTTTAAACCTTTATATTTAACATAATGTTATAATTAACTCATTTAGTATATAATTAACCCGTTTAGTATACGAGTCTGACAACTAAAAACATAATTTTAATGTATTTATTTTCCGCATGTTTTTTTATCATAATTTCCACTTATTTCAGATTTCAAATTCAAATAAACTTCCCATATAATCGTTCATATTTAACATTTTGTTTTAATCAATCCGTATAGTATATGAGTCTCACAACTAGTAAGATTAAATTGAAGGTTGCAGAAATCGCTTGCACGGTAGCTCGACGATGGACAGAGGTCAAGGGATTAATCGGCTAGACGGGGATTAATCGGGGACCATTAACTATTAAAAAAATTTATTAAAAATTAATAAACATGACATTAATCCTAAGAATATAACATTATATATAACGTTAATAAATATAAAATTATAACAATTCAACATTTCACAATAACAATATATAAATAACAATTCAACATTTCACAATCATAGATTAAGCTATCAAAGAAATTGAGGCGACATCCACTTTCAAATGCATCTGCCTTCCTTGCTATTAAACATACAAAAGCTTATGGTTTTTATTCACCAAGATTTTGACATCATCAGTGTTACCAACTGCGGTTTTTATCATCATAGTCTGGCTCATGGCTTGGCTTGTAGGGATTTCAAATGTTGAAGGCCTCAAATTGGATACTAATCAAGAGCAAAGTTAGGAATTAAGAAAAAGATTCATCATATTGAAATCCTTAATTATCATTTCTGTCTGCTTCCGCCAAGAACAACAATGAACTCTGTCACGATTTTCATCAGACAACTAGTGTGCGTCAATCCTTCGAAATAGGTGTGAAGTCGGATTCAGTTGATGCAGAAACATCCTATGATATTCAATTACAATGAACCTGAGAAACGGTAATCTCATGAAACGGTAATCTCATAAAAGGTGTGAAATAGTTGTGAACTTGGGGTGAACTCAACCTTAACAATGAACTTCAATCACACAATCTTCACATTGTGAAGTCGGAGACGATGGCTAACGCTTTGAGAACTCAGTAAAGAATTACCTTAAGAGCAGACTCCCAATGCTTCGAGTACAGTTCCCGAAAACATCTTTGTCGCAGAAGACGATGACAAAAGACTGAACAACAGAGACGATGGAAAAAGTCGTAGATGATGGCTACGACAGCGAGTAGGGAGGAGTCGGAGTCGGAGTCGTTGGATGAGCCGTAGTTAGACCGAATGCGATGGAATGGAAAAATCGGAAGGAAATCTAGCAGCAATTGAGGAGTTAAACCGCCAGTCGAAACCACCATTGAAACTGAAGCTCAAACCTTCAACCACCTGTTACGTGAACTAAGAAGAAGCGAAGAAGAGATATTCAACCACCAGTCCCATATCCCACATCGCTGGTGGGGAAAATAATAGGTAGACATATTCTATAAAAAGGAGCAACAATCCCCTTCGAAACGTAAAACAACTGTGCTTTGGGTTGTTGGCTCCATTGGGCCGATGACTTTAGAGTGGGGTGGAATCACTATTGGTGTCCGAGTTGGTCTGATTTAGTCTGATTTGGACCAAATTGGACCGGTTTTGACTGATATTGACCGATGCTAATTAATTAAACGTCTAACATCTATTTATTCGTAGGCGGTTGGAGTAGGCGCCGATTAATCGGCCGCCTAGACCGATTTTTACAACGATGAGATTAATTTGATTTCTTGAAATTAAAAAGAACGAAATATATATGCGATCTTTGGTATGTCATCATATTTCCCTTTGAAACGATAACGTGGATGCTTGAGTAATCCATCACGTTTCTGATATATTTAAATTTATATAAATAAATAAATGGTTGTAATCAGATTCTGATCCGTCTAGGGGAGATCGGAATCATTTTCCAGTAACTATTCTGCATTTCTACTTCAAAGCCAAAGGCAAGGAGTGATACGCCATTGGCGGCCAAACTTCCCACCCTTCAAGGGTTTGATCTCTGATGCAATCTGTCGAAGATGGTGGACGAAATAGGTGTATGGATGACCTGTCCAATGACCAAATATCTTCAAGATGAGCTCTCAAAACGATTCATCCTCTTCAAATCATGGGAAATCCCCTCCAAGGTCCAGTTCTTCAACCAACACTCACGTTCAATCAGAGCACTTGTAGGAAACGGAATCCATGGAGCTGACTCCAGCTTAATCGAGTCGCTTCCACGTCTAGAGATCATCTCAAGTCACAGTTCTGGTTTAAACCAGATTGATTTAGTAAAATGCAAAGAAAAGGGGATCTTCGTCACATCCACCCCTGATTCCTTGACCGATGAAGTCGCTGATTTGGCTGTAACACTTACTTTGGCGACTCTCAGAAGGATTTGCGCAGGCGATAAGTTCGTAAGAAATGGATCTTGGAAGCAACGAGACTTCAAATTGACCACAAAAGTACGCTTCTTCCTCCCTTCGATTACAAAATTAAAAAGAATTTTGAGTTCAAATCGTTTGTATGGCGATTTCCTCGAGTCATTGGTTGTTTGATTTACTTGCAGGTTAGTGGGAAATCGGTGGGAATTGTAGGGTTGGGAAGAATCGGATCAGCAATTGCTAAGAGATTGGAGGGATTTGGTTGTCCAATTAGTTACTACTCCAGATCAAAGAAACCAAATTCAGGTTACATATACTATCCAAACGTGATCGCATTGGCTTCAAACTGTGAAATCCTGGTTATCGCCTGTTCATTAACAGAAGCAAATCATCACATAATCAACCGTGAAGCCATTGATGCTTTAGGGCCAAATGGGTTTCTCATCAACATTGCACGAGGGGCTCATGTTGATGAACCAGAGCTCGTTTCAGCTCTTGTTGAAGGTAGACTTGGTGGTGCAGGGCTCGATGTGCTTGAACATGAACCTGATGTACCCCAGCAACTCATTCATCTTGATAATGTAGTTTTATCACCACATGTAGGAACTTGCACCCATGAAACCCGCAAAGCTATGGCTGATCTTGTTGTCGCAAATCTGGTGGCTTACTTCTCTAATCACCCATTGTTAACCCCTGTGTGCTTTTAGTAGCTCTGTATAACAAGCTAACTTTTCTATGTTCCTCATCTTTTCCTATCATGTCATTGTTATTATTATTAGTCTTGGTAAACTAATTAAATTTCTTCTTTGGTTTGTGACGAAAGAAAACAAAATACATCATACAGTAGTAATATGCATTACAAAAAAAACTAATAATAGACAGTAAAACTGCACATAGCTAACAGTATTGCAATAGATAATTAAACGCCTTGAAACATAAATTTTTTGATCATGAGTCCTCTTGTTAAATTTCTCAACAAAATTTCATGGGATGTTGCAATATATACAAACATATTTCGCCATCATGGCCAAGGCCGATGTCAATTTTTGCTTATGACTCTTCCAAGATATAATGTACTTATGTAACTTGAAGTTGACATTATGTCATCTTTGCATCTCTCGAAGTTGGAGTTGTATAACCTATTACTTTTCTTAAAAATAAGTTTGTCTTGAGTCCTTTGTACACATTTATTTATTTGTGGCTTTCTAGTGATTTATGTCGGATTGGATTGATGACGAATAAGTAATGATTGGATTAGTAAAAACCACGAAACTAGGGCATACATCAATCATCGTGCTTCCAAGTTCTGAAGCATAAGAGATCATTTTCATTTGATCACATTCTACCTCTATTTTCACGTATTGAAAAGAACTGAAAACATCTCCTTTTAATTACATGATCAACCAAAGAGGTGCATTGCTACATGTTATATAGACTAAGTACCAGTGTTTTAAAAACCGGTTTGAACCGGCCGGTTGGACCGGGAACCGGTAAGGAGAGCGGTTCAACAACGATCGATTTTATGTCAATTTCTAAACCGGATCGAACCAGACGGTTTCTTCAAAAACCGAGTTGAACTGATGTGATAGAACCGGTAAAAAACTGTTTGAACCTATTTATTTGATTTTTGTAGTTCAGTTTCCCTTACCCGTTCAAAAAATAGCCTATTTCCAAAGTAAATTGAACATTTTTGAAGCATACATAACTTCAATCGTTACACATAGAAAAAATCTTGGTTGAACAGACCGGTTGATCCGACGGTTGAACCGGGAACCGATCACCTGAACTAAGAAACCAGTTTTTAAAACATTGCTAAGTCCACGTTTGATATATGTCTTTAGGACAATCCTAAAGACTTGTAAGGTCTATATTGATGTATTTAAATTTAAATGTTTGTAACATAAGTGGCTTCACATAGATCATTCATTTTGAAATGATATCTCAGACTCCTATAAAATATCAATATCATGAATTGCCAATAAAATATTGTCCACGTAAAGGGCAAGTATGATAAAGTTCTCATTCTCATCTTGAGTTATATACATTGACATATATGTTTCAGAAAGGAGACTAATACTTAAAGAGAAGCTTGTACATGTTTAGGGTTGTCAAAGAGGAGTAAAGACACATTGTCTAAGAAATTTTATAAACTCGGTCTACCGAGTGTATGAATCTCAATTGACCAAGATTAACCCTACCCAAAACAACGGTTGAAATTAGTTCCAAAAACCCTTTTGTCATTGTTCACTTTTGGTGCACATGGATCCAAGTTTTGACTTAAAATCAATGACATATACTTTTCTGCAGAAGCGTTGATATAAGGGCAGCGAACCAATACCAATTAGTTGCAACAGTGTTAGTACACATTACCTATTTCTAGAATTCACATACTATGGTGAATAATTAGTTGGGGATTGTAAGTCAATTGTAAATACTTCGGTTATTCAGTAATCATTTGACAGGAGACATCCCTTTGGAGATTTGAAAGATTAAAACCCTTAATAAGCATAACATTTATAACAATAAACTTTCTGGGGAACTACCTACTATTCTTGCTGAAATGAGAATTGAAAGAGGTTACATTGTACAATCCATTTTCTGTAGTTATATGGGTTAGGAATCAATAGCAGATTGATGATAACCAATTTCACAAACAACTCATTTATAGGGAAGATTCCAAGAAGCATATGAAACAGAGGAGTTTTTGCCAAAGTTCTAAACAATGTAGTCGATCCTTCAATTGGTATCAGAACGGGTATCGTTATCTCACAATGACTAAACCTTCTTCTTCATCTTCTTCTTCCGACTCTAAACTTTTCTCTAGTACCATCTCTGGAAACAAAATTCCTACTTTCGATGAAAAGAACTTCCCCATGTGGAAAAACAAAGCTATGGTTGTTCTTGGAACCATGGATCCTGATATACTAGACATTATCGAAAAAGGTCGACATGCTCCCACCTTTGATGAAAGAAAAGATGGCGTGAAAACTGGTGTTATTAAGAAAACTCCTAAACATCAGTTTAGTGAATATAATAAGCTTCTTCATAGCCTTGATGTTCGAGCTCGTGCTGCAATAGGAAACTCACTTCCTTATGATATCTATCACCTTGTTCGAAATTGTGTCTTTGCCAAAGAGATGATCGATAAGCTGACGATAGGATATGAAGGAACCAAAAAAGTCAAAGCTACCAGGGAAAATAGTCCGAATCGCAGATATGAGCACTTCTTTGTTCAAAGGAATGAATCTCTTTGTAACTTCCCAAAAATTCTAACTAATTTTTTTTTTAAATCGATCAAAGCAACAATTCATTCAGTTTGAAAACCCATCATAGTATAAAATATTTCATACAATCATCAGAGTATAAAATCGATCAAATCGCGCGGAATACTGGTGGATGTGGTACAATCATGTCGAGCCCTTCCCCATGGAACCAGAAGTACCTGAAACCATAAACATAAAATTGTAAGAACAAAGCTTAGTGAGTTCCCCAAAATACCCCTACCATACATACATATCAACACGAAGCTGTAACGGGTCTATTTCACCCCCGTGGCTATTTCATCCCCGAGTTTACTTCAGCTCAATTGGTATTTTTTAACCGAACAGGTCTATTTAACCCCCGGTCCTATTTCATCCCCAAGTCTATTTCAAATCAATCGGTATTTTTCAACCGAACGGGTCTATTTCATCCAGGTCAATTTCACCCCACATACAATCAACATACATTCATATTAGCAAGAGTCACAAAGACAACAAGCACATATAAGCATATCAACAAGTGTCACAGAGACATCTATCATCCTATAAACATAATCCAGTGGGCCGACATTGGTGCATTCGACTCACGAGTACAGTGAATAAACTCGCCTCTCAGTCGATAATCAGTTGAGTGCTCTCACTGCCAGAAATACTAATGCTAAGCACCGTATAAATAGATACACAAGGTAAGACCATAGGTCTCCTTCCAAGACAAGGAGTTTGATCAAAATTTAACTTAAGTAAAAAAAGTAAACGGTCAAAGCCAATGGTCAATGTAGACTTTAGTTAACCGTCACGTCATGGCCATCCATGACCATGTCGTGGCCCATATACGACGATACAGACAAGCATTTCCCAGTTGCCACACTGTGGTGACCTAAGGTTACGTCGTTGGCACTGGGTTTCTAACATCTTAATGGTTTAACCCGTTTTCTTCGATTCTAAGAGCTCCAAAGCTCAGATCCAGTCCATTCTATGGTCTAAATGGATCAAGTTTCCAACTTTATCCTTTAAGACTCTCCAAGAGATCAAGATCTCAACTCCTAGGTCCAAAAAGGAAGAAACATATCATGGCTTAATCATTAAGCACTTAATCTTGTAGTTCTCTTTTTAATAAAAAGGGTTCCTTGCACCATTAAAAACAAAAAAATTTGTTCTATACAAACATGCATATCCAATGCATGTATTGAACTCCTATTAGGTCAAAACAAGGGCTTTATGACCAAAATTTCATGAATGACACGAAAAATCATTCCTACTTTAGATCCAACACACCAACTACCCCAACTGGCCCGGTGATTCATAAAGTTGCGAACTTTCTGAGATCTCACCACTCAAACTCATCAAGACATGAAGAATAATGGATAAAACTAAACATTTAGAAACTTAGCAAGAAAAAGGTTGAGTCTTTGACACTCACCAACGCCCAGAAGATATGCTAGAAGATGAAGATGATGCTTGCAAAGTGAATCTTCACACAAAAGGATTCCTTCTCCTTCAAAGACCACCACAAGTACCTAAAGTGAGTTCACAAATGCAATAGAGACTAAGGTTAGGGTTTTTGATCTTGGGAGGGTGATGGAGGCTGAATAATCACGAAACCCTAGCCATAATGTCCTTTAAATTGGGCCCAAATCTCAAGGATTAGGGTTATTTCAAAAACAGCTGCCACGCCGTGTCAACCATGGCCACGCCGTGGCAGGTCATTTAATTTCCGCGATCATAAAAATATTTCCACGCCGTGGTGAAGCTCCACCATGCCATGGTCACCCAAAAATGATAGTTTAACATTAGCAAATTAACTCATACCTGGAAAGGGCGTTACAACTCTCCCCTATTTGAATCAGACTTCGTCTTCGAAGTCCACTGCTGTAAACAACTCGGGGTAGTGCTCCCTTATCTCCTCCTCGATTTCCCATGTCCATTAGGAACCCTTCCGGTACCACCATTGCACCTTAACCAACTCCAATACCTTGTTTCGCAAGGTCTTGGTCTTCTTGTTAAGAATCGCCACAGGTCTCTCCATATAGTTTAGCAGCTCATCTATATGAATATCATCTAATGGTACCACTGCGGACTCATCGGCCGAGCACTTCCCTATCCGAGATACATGAAACGTGATGTGAATCTGACTCAGTTCAACTTGTAAATCCAGTCGATATGCAACCTTGCCCACCCGAGCGATGATCTTGAAAGGACCAATGAATCTACGACCAAACTTGCCGCACTTCCTTAATCGAATGACACTTTCCAAGGCGACACCTTCAGGAGAACAAAATCCCCGACCTGAAACTCAAGATCTGAACGACGTCTGTCTGTATAGCTCTTCTGACGGCTCTGTGCGGTCTGGAGTCTCCCGCACACCTATTGAATCATCTTGGTGGTCATTAGTACCACTTCGATACTCCCCATGACTCGCTGTCCTACCTCGCCCTAGCAAATCGGGG